TATAATATAAAAAAATAATAATACTAGCATATTTGAAGAACAGTATAATATAAAAAAATAATAATACTAGCATATATTTGAAGAAGATTTCCACGGGAGCAGGATTCTATAAATGGTCCTCCTTTGCTCCCCTTTCAAAAATTTCTGGAACCATCCCTGAATTATCGCGATGTCAATAACTTTAGGGAAGGGAGTGAACAAAAATTTAGTTGCAGCACAACTGTGCTTCCAAGGCTCCAACATTTGATTAATAGTCTAGTCGTATGTCCGGTCGGAGCGGTATGTTCATYCCTGATGATATTTCTGCCAGAAAGAAGTACTGTTTTTTCTTTTAATTTCTATAGGAGTTTGGTACACTATCGCGGTTTTGGTGAAGGTGGCGAAGCAATTAAGAAAGCTTACTTGGGAAATTTTATTTTTCCCTTGAGGTACTTGTTATTTCGATTTGTGTTTCAAAGGAAGGTCAAGAACCAGCTCCATGGTCACGGGATAGGTCGTCATTCTCCCGAAGAGATTTATGGGATAGCTGAGAAAGATCTAAAAGCTGTTTCAGCAATTCTTGGAGAGAAGAAGTTTTTGTTTGGAGACAAACCCTGYCTTGCTGATGCCTATCTCTTCGCACTTGTGAGCAACTTCATCTTCCTGACTCCCRTTTCCCCACAGGGAAAAGTGATTWTGACGCAATTGAAAAATCTTGAAGCTCATGCAAATCGCATGAAAGAGGCTTATTACCCTGACTGGGATGAAGTTGCCTTGGGGCAAAAGTAACACTCTTAATTCYAGTAATGACGCTTGRTGTTTAAAATTATATTGTTACMAGGCACTAGATATTAGTACAAACGCTTTTTTGAAAGAACGTAAACTTTATATTGTTGAGATTTTAAGTAAAAAATGTTCATTTTGCAACTCAGTAGTAACATATAGTGTAATATATTTGCCTTTATTTCTCATGTTCAGTCTTGTAAGAAATGTGCGCTAGTGAAGCTCTTGTTCCCATAAGCTACAATTGTAGGTAGTAGAGCTAAACTGTTTGGTTTTCTTTAATTTCTGCTTGGAGTATATAAAACAAAAGAGTTTGGCACCCCATTATTGTACACAGGGTCTAAAGTCAGTAAATTGTCATGTAGATGTAAATGAGTGTTCCATGSCTTCACTGATCGTGTTGAARKTWA